CAAAGTTTCTCCTTTCTTTTACATTTTGATACCTCTCATCCAAATGTCTATTTCCTTCTACACTTTGAATTCTATCATCAAAATTTCTTCTTCCGTCTAAATTTTGACTTCTTCCTTCCAAAAAATTTTTTCCTTCAACATTTTGAAGTCTTTGCGCAAAAAGGTTCTCTTTATTAAACTTTGAAGGTTTTATAATATTAGAAGATTTGTCAGCGCTTGTGTTTTTTACTTGTTCATTAGTTTTATTATTTTTTTCTATTTTCATACTATTATTAACATTTTTTAAATCTGCTAATGTTGTAGTCCATGGATTAATTTGTTGTTCATGTAAACCCTTTTTAATATTTGTTTTATCAATATCGAGTGGTTCATCTTTCAAATGTCTATCTGTATCATCATCTACAGGTTCATCTTTCAAATGTTTATCTCTATCATCATCTACAGGTTCATCTTTCAAATGTTTATCTCTATCATCATCTACAGGTTTATCTTTCAAATTATTACTTGTATTGTCATCTAGAGGTTCATCTTTCAAATTATTATTTGTATTGTTATCTGCACGTACGTCATTCAAATGTTCAGTGCCATACTTTTCTGAAGCTACATCCTGCAAATATCCACTTCTATCATAATACTCTTGTTCATTTTGTACATCTTGCTCTGAAGCATAATTATCTCTCAACTGATCTGGTACATCTTGTTCTGTAGCATAATTATCAGTCGACTGATCTGGTACATCTTGTTCTACAAAATAAGTATCTGTCGATTGATCTGATACATTTTGTCCTGAAGCATAATTATCTTTCGACGGACCTTGTACATTCTGTTGTGTATAATAATTATCTTCCAATTCACCTTTGGAATAATTATTTATATAATCATCTATAGGTTCATCTTTCAAAAGTTCAATGATATTATCATCATTCACTGGAACTTTTTTCAATTTTGCACCTGTGCTACTACTATCGTCTACTGGTTCGTCAAATAATTCCGAACTAACTGCCTTACCACCCATTGGATTACTTCTTAGATATCCTTCAAATCCATTAACAGTGTTTTCATCTTTCAGATTAGTAATTCTATCTTTATCAAATTGATTAAATGCTGGTAATTCCAATTTTTTAAAACTATCAAATCCGAAAGAATCCTTACGTAAATTTGTGGTATTATCTAATGTATTTTGATTGTTTATATATGATTCTAGTTCAGGAAATAAATTTTCATTTATATTTCCTAATTCTGTTTGTACATTTGTAGCACTATTTGTCAGATCATTTTTATTTCCTTCATCCTTTTCATTTAATTCATAACCTGAACTAATGGATTCAGAATTCCCTCCTAAATTTCTAGACGTTCTATTAACAATATGACATTTTGGTAGTGTATTATAATCATTCTTTAATATTTCAATATTCTGCAAAAAAAAAAAAAAAAATAATAATAATAAAAATAATAATAAAAATAAAAATAATAATAATAATAATAATAATAATAATAAAAATAATAATAAATTAATATAAAAAAAAAAAAAAAAAAAAAAAAAAAAAAAAAAGGGATATAATTATCTTTTCTAAAACATAAAAAATTATATATATATATATATATATATATATATGTCCAATCCATGCATGTACAAATATTTCGTATTTTTTTTATATGTCTCTTACTTCTATTGTGCTACATTGAACAAAAAGAAAAAAGAACACAATTAATGAAATTGAAATAATAAATCTTGATAAATTATTCCTTATATATTTATTCCTATTTTTTTTGAATAAACATTTAAAAGAACCACTAAAATTTTCCTCTATGGCAACTGAAGGCCATTTAAGGAAATATAAAATTTTGCTCTTAACAAATATCATATATATTATATATATAAATATATATTATATATATATATATATATATATTAGTGATTGTCTTATGTCTTTATTTTTACAAATATAATCATAAAATAAAATGAAATATTATATATATTTTATAAGCATTATATATATATATATATATATATGTAATTTCTTTTATATAGAATATTAAAATAAAAAAAATATAAAAAAAAAAAAAGTCTCAAATAGCATGATTCATTTTCTAGTAATTATAGAACCATATATGTATATATATATATATATATATATATATTTATTTATTTATTTATTTACTTTTGTTTTATATGTTATATTTAGACTTCTTTTTTTATATTAAAAAAAAATAATAATAAATACAAAATATAATTATATACAAGGTAAATATTTAAAAATATTAAAAAATACAACCTAACAAAATTTTATTTTTTTATTTGCTATCATTTTATTATATATAATATTCTTTTTAATTAATTCGAAAAAGAATATTTTTATGGATTGTATTTTTTTTCTTTTATATATAAATATTTTTTTTTTTTTAAACTTTAATATAATATAAAAATAAATAAATTTAAATAAATTTTTTTTTTTTTTCTTTTATTATTTTTTTTTTTTTTTTTTTTACCTATAAAAAA